GGCATATGAGGAGGAAGCGATTGTTTGCTGAGGAAATTGAAAGTTGCAGCTAAGGCGCTCTCTGCAGTGTAGAATATTCAAGTGGGAGAAAGGGTCCCTTCCCCACCTTCCTGGAATAAAGCAGCCTGATCTTTCATTGTGTTACTGGGTTTTCCTCCTTGTGCTGGGCTGCGGTGAGAGTCCTAGGCTTGCTACAGATCAGATCAGTGTCAGAAGCAAATGGAGAAAGAGAAGTAGAGGGCAGTGGGGAAAACAGGCTGTTAGGGAGTATGTGGGGCATGAAAACTGCTGAAGGGTTAAGACTGAAGCAGAAGGAATTGTTTCTTTAGCTGATTCGTGTGGTGGTAGCAGCTGGTTGCCCAGTGCAGCTAACATGTATGGACTGCTTTTGTTCCAAATGGGTGGAGAATGAGCTGGTCTGTGCTGTTCTCAAATGAAAATGTACATGGGAAGATTTAGTTTGTTCAGTCCAACCCTGTGTAACCATGGGGATAGTGAACAGATATACTGCTCACATGATGCCATTCTTTTAACAATGAAGCTGTGCCTGTTTTCACTACTGCTGGGTTTGTTGGTACCTTGCACTTCTTCATATAGTAGTATTTGCTATATCTGTGGAGTGACAGCAAGGTTGCCTTTCTTGCTTTTTGAATAAAAAATGTTTAATGGGTTTGTGCAATCCGTTAATATATAAAGGCAGAGAGAAATAGTTATAAAAACAAATTCACTGATTATATAGGTCAGGTGAGTCACATAATTTTACATTGCATTTCCTTATGTAAAACAAGTATGTAGATTCACAGAACATCCTTTAACGATCTCCATTTGAATTCAGCCATATTTACCCAAAAAGCATCCTTCCAATTTTCTGTACTGTTAGATAGGACTTGCAATCTTGGATCACGATTGCTTCTTTTCTGAGAAGAATTAATGCCGTAAACTCGGGGAAGTCTGCTGACAGTTATAAATTCTGCAGTTAACCAAATTTTGCTATCCAGTATCTACAGTACCATGTAGATCACAAGAATTTGGGTGGAATTCATTAAGGTAAAATTGATGCATCTCTGCTGCATATTTTAAAAAAGAAACCAAAAAAAGAAGTGTGTGGACAATTTTCAAACTCTAACAGTATTTTGCTTGCAATTAGAGTACAATTTCATTCATGAATAGAGCTCCTGTTTTTTATGTTTCTTTTGTTGTATATTTATGTTTTAATTAATACCAGTTTGGGGATCCTATAAAATATTTCTAATCTATTTTACTAGTAAATCAACAGCCATTACTAGCACATAAAAAATCAGTAAAATTTTAGCACATTAAACATTTTAGCGCAACTTCGCTCTTGTGTCCTGTTCGTCTTTGATAATTAGTGCTGGGCAGTGCAATTCAGTCACCTGCCTTTAAAGAGGTTGACACTGAATTGGTTTTATTTCCATGTGTTAATTTTCTTGTTTTGAAGACTTGAAATATTTTTCATGTTTATCTCATGTTCTAAAGAGCTTTAGTGTTGAGTACCACATTTTAAGCATTATCTACTACTACCTATTTAAAATGAATAAGGAGAAAAGGTGAGTGTGGAATGAAAAAAAACAGGTAGTTTTTGCATATTCTGGATCCACATAAAATTTTAAATTTGCAAATGGATTCTCGACACTACTGTCACTATTCTCTTACTTGAATGGAAATCTGAGCTCGTTTCTAGTTTGTGGTATTGCTTGTGTCTTAAAGTTAACTTCTATGACTGCATTTTGTGATAGAAATAAAAGTATTTTAAAAAATCTAAGATATGGCTGTTTTGTTGGTTTTAACTTGGGTGCTGTATGAGGCCCTAAGTTTGTTCTTAACTGCAACTTTTCGATTGTTTTGCATTCAAGCTGAGTTGGTAGATGGTAGGTTGTAATGCTTTGTAAAAGGGACACCCTGCCTCTCAGTCAGTCTTCAGAGAAGAAAGGAGAACAGTCATAATTGGTGTCCATTGTTAGTTTCGGAATGGGAGGACTTTGTAAGGATTTCCACCTCCAGATAACAGCATCTGCCCCCAAAGTTATAGTAGTTCTGCATTTAACATACTTTTAAGAATTGCTGTTCTTCAGAATCCTAAGTATCTTAGAAAATAAATTACTGATGGAAGGATACGGTGGATATGGTGGTCTATAAAATTGTTATAGCTTGAAGATGAATGGGGAAAAATTACTATCTCTGCTAACGCAGGAAGCAGGGAACTCAACTACATGGCTTAAAGTTTAAAAAAAAAAAAATTCCCTCACATAATACACAGTAAAATGGTAGGACTTGTTATCCTAGCATATTCGGAGTTTTAGAGTAATAAAATCAAGGAAAGGTCCATCTAGAGATATTAAATAAGATGTCACCTCCAGTTGTGGAATTCTGTCTCTCCTGGAGGTTGGGAGCATGTGTAAAAGGAAGATCAGTCTAAGTATGTCTGTCTGTAATACTTTTTTTTTTCTCTCCATCTGTTACTAGCCACTGTTGGAGAGACAGTACTTGGCTAGATGACATAAGGCAAATCAGTGATCTAACATGTGACTAGGTAGATGATATTGCTAAATAGTATGTAATTGTTCTCTTGTAGGAAGATGTAGAATATTTCTAGAAGGAATGTGAATGGGAATATACATTTTAACAGTTGTCTGATTTTATAGTTATGAAGGCAGAACATAGAGTTGTGGATGGATGTAAACAGCATTTTAGCTGCTTATGTATTTGGTAACTTTGAACCATAGCCATGTGCACTGAAGCAGGTAATAACTTGTGTAGATGCAGCTATATTTTAGCTTCTTAGGAATGTAAAAGATCAAAGGTTATGTTGGGCAGCCTGTAAAGCCCCAGCTGGTATTTTATATGTTTTTGTTTTTTTCAGGTAAGTGACATAACAGGCTATTAATTGTCCGAGTGGAGGAGTCTTTCATTTTTAAGGTTTCACAGACACTGAAAGCGAAAATACTAATTTTAGAAAGGCATACACTGCCTTAAATGTGATATTTGAAAGATTTTAGGCTCAGTTGTTTCTTGTTTGCCACCAGGGGGCATGGGACTACACTTATTTTTGTTTCTTTTCGGTATCCCGTCATCTGCATATTGCTTTCCTGTTTCTTCACAATTCGTACATTTGAACGCTTTCTAGTAGTTGCCTTTAAACTGCTTAGACTCTAAGATACTATCCCTACATCGATTTGTTTAATTCGGGTCTATTGCTAAAATATATTTTTGTCTTTTGGGAGATAACAAGCGTTTACCTCAGTTGTGCTTTGGAACTTATTACTGGTTTCAAGATTTATTAAACAGGAGGGCGGGAAAAAAAAGACTATGTCAGCACTTTCCACAGTCCAGAAAATGAGGAGGCAAGTTTTCGAACTGTGAAGTTTCAACAGTAATAAAACATATCTTGTATAGAACTGTGAAGAACTGCTGTGGAGATGGAATTATAGGAATGTTTTTTTTATAAGGGATGTTTTTTGTTCTTGCAGACTTCTCAAATTGAACATAATTCAGAAGAAAGTAAGTGTCAGTTCAAACAGGAGCTGTAATCCTTTGCGAACTGAACTGTGAAAGTTGGAACTAATTTGGCATTTGAGGAAAACAGCTTGTACCTTAAACAAAAGTGCAAAGGCATGTCTCAAGGGAATGGTTTTAAAAGGGGAAAAAGTCTCATTTACTGAGGCTATTGCTAATATTATGCTATAATGTGAATATATGCTAGCATAATAAAGCATTGGTGCAAAGAAAAGTTTACCTGGTCATTAAAAAAATGTAGATCACAGAACAATTGCCTGCTATTGGTAAAGTGTGAATGTCTGAATCTGCAGAGGGTTTTGCTGCAGTAACATCTTGCTGACAAAACTTAATTGTATGTTGCATATTTTGGGGTCTGTTTACAATTTTAATGACATGAAGTAACTGGATTTCTCTTCTCTATCTTTTTCTGTTGTTGTTAGATTGAAATCAGCTTGAGGAAAGAAAGAATTTACTCTTGAGCCAAAAGAAACCTTAGATACCCACTGCATGGTCTAGCCTCCTATGATTCTATAAAAACTAATATATTCATGTCTGGAAAAAAGTTTAACCTCCTCAATTGAAAGGGGTAGCTCTAATACATGAGGGTTAGGGCAGTAGCACTTCCAGATACCTCGTTCTTCTCCTGTGCTACCTTCTGTTATCCAAAGGTTCAATGATTAGGTGCTATCAAGTTTCTCTGCTGCAGATCGGTTGACTTCTTTCAGTTGGTACTGATGTTATTCTCTATCCCCTCTATTCTGGTGCATGCTAAAACCAATCACAAAAATCCCTCTGTTCAGTAATGAAGTGACCTTCTGACTGAGAGAGCTATAAATTCAAGCTGTCTTTTACAGGATTATCTTAATGTTTGTAACTGTCCAATCATACAGATTACGAGTATGATCAGGCAGTTAAGGGATCTTTTCCCTCTATTAAGTGCTTTTATTAACTTTACTCTCTTTCACAGAATACAAGAAACTCAGTATTCTATATGGATATGTTTCAAAGCAGTGGAGTTTCATAACAAAGTATAATTTTATGTGTACAAGAAAAAACTAAAATGTATATATCCTATTAATTGTATTTCACGAGATACAGCTGCTTCCTAAAAAGTGGCTTTCCCTTTGATATTCTGATATGATAAATGAAAAGGCTACAGTTTTGCAAATCGTAGACATGAAAAAAGTTGGAGTAATTGGTACTTGAAGCAGTGTGACCTTTTAAGACTATCTCTGTATCACTGATTAGATCTTGTATTATAAATTCAAATTTGTAATGGAAAATGTCTTTTGTTGCTTTATTTTATTCTGAGAGTAGGAAGTTTCATGTGTTGATTCAATTTCTTGTGTAGCTCGTCTTTGTACAAAATGCAGAATAAAGAATTTGTGTGGGGGGTGGGGGAGAGAATACACTGTAGTGAAACTGAAATTTAAAAGCTATATGAAGAAGTTTGACAACTTTTTTGTATTTCTTTTTTTAAACAGGGCCAGCTTTCAATATTGCAAGAAAAAATAGACCATTTAGAACGCTTATTGGCAGAAAATAATGAGATTATTTCAAACATACGAGATTCTGTGATTAATCTGAGTGAATCAGTAAAGGATGGTCAAAGAAATCCTGAGGCTATAAACTTCAGTCAAGGATCTCTGTCTGAGCTCCTTCCTTCCACTTCAGTTTTGCTTGCAGTTGATTCCGAGGATTGTTTGTTTGCTTCAAAAAGTAGAAGTCAAGTTTCAGGAGTACAGGTAAGCGATACATCTTTCTCTTATCCTCACGGGAGCCCTAGCTATCATTACCTTATAATACTGAAAATATCTAACTAATAGTAAAACTTTGGTCATAAGCACCGTTGCTGTGGTCTAAGACATAATAGAATTGTTCAGGTGACTGTTGTATTAACTGAAAATTTTGTGGAACTCTTCCTTCTTATCTTTGCTAAACTGGGTAGAAATTGAATTTGTGATTATGGTGACTTGACATTTCAGCATGCTTCTCCTCAGTTTTTAAGGAAATGATTAAACTGAGATTATTGTCCAGTACTATCAGAAGTTCTTTGGAAAGAATTTCTTTATTTGACAGTCTCTATCAGCCTCCCAAAATTCTTCTGAAATTTATCTCAAATAAGCTAGAAATAGAAAAATATCTTTAGGAATGTATGTGTATATGGGTCTTGAGGGGCTGACAAAGCATGTTTAAGAAATAATCATTTAAAAAAAAACAAACCGAGTACTGTATCCCCTTTTGAATGTTGCTTCTGTGTATCAGCATCCTAGTATGGGCACTTTGGTTTTACTTGATCAGGAACGAAGAATGTTTACCATATCGGCTTGTTCGCATAAACTGGGTGGTTTTTAAAGTCAAACACTTCAAATTGAGTTTATTTTGCTTTTTGGTGAGGCTTGTGAGTTCATTGACTCTTACATATTCAATTTTAATGGAGTGTTTCAGTTTGTCATTTGTACTGTTTTGGGGAGTCTTGTGGGAGTATTATGAATATTCATAATACTCTAGTGCAAAGATTAAATTTTGAAGTCCAGCTTTCTCATTCTGGAAGTGAATGTATTTCTACTATAGGAGAAAGATGGTGGACTCAACATAAGTATTGATATTACAACAATTGTATGATCTGATTTATCCTTAATTTTTTTAAGATGTTCAGGGATAGGCAAGTAATTCTCATGATCTTAACTAGTTTCTCCGTAAATGACATGTTAATGACAGTAATATCTGACTGTTTGTATTTGTAATATACATTAAGATTTCTGTGCAGAAAAGTTTGTTGGAAATATTGTAAGCCTATTAGGAATGCAAAGTAAAATGTTTTCTTAAACTGTCTCCGTGGTTTGATTCGCATTTGTAGCACTTCAGAACATACGTTTGGTCAGCTCATTTTGGTTAGCTGGCAGTGTATGACTTGTTAAGTTGTAGTATCTAAGCTGCTTTTTGATCATTTCCTATATTTCTAAAGTTATGTGTAATATGTGTAAATAACAAGTATAACAGGGAATATTCTTAATATTTCCTTACATACACTTGGCGTTTCCTTGCTTTGCAGAAGAAGGGAGGTTTCTAATTTTCCGCATATCATTGGATAAGTGCCTTGTGCTCAGCATGTTGTCCACCATGATACTTCAATTATTTTAGCACTGCTTCCTTGTACAGTTTCTCATCCTGCGCGTCTGACTAACACTGGTTATGGAATCTAAGCCCATGACTTCAGTAGAATTCCTCTAACGCTAACTTAACTGATCTAAATTACTATTTGAATATAGCTTCATGGTTTAACACTTCCCCAAGGCTGATGTCCTCTGCAAGCTCAGTCAACTTATTTTTTTTTTGGGTCTTTTATAGAGACAGAGAAGTTCTGAGTAGATTATTCATACTGATATACTGATTCCAAATTTACAAATACTGAAACAGCTAGCGAGTGTTAATTATCTGCTATTCACAAACATTAACCTAGAACTACAAATTTTGACCTTCCTTTTTCCCTGCTTCTTCAGAGTCGGTGTATGAGAATGAAGTGAAAAATTAGAAAGAAATAAGGGAGCACGTAAGTGAGACAGAATGTGTTTGGATAAAAATCACTTTGGAGAATGAAGGTAATAGAGGCTTTAATGAATAAATTCTGGGAGTGTGTTATTACATTTTCCCACAGTGTAAAGACCATTGCAAGAATGGGTCCAAATATCCATTAAAAACCTTGGTAGTATTTCAGTGAAAAATATTACCCGGACTTATTACTTTGAGAGACCTATTTTCTATGCATAGGTTGAAAAGTTGCTAATAAAATCATAGCCAAAAAATTCTTGGATAGGCTAACTGATAGATTCTTTTTCTTTTCCATGAAGGAGTTTTAAAACAAGAAATGATACTATGTTACATGGAACACTTGTTTGTAGGAAGGATATTATGTTGGACTGAGAATTGGTATTGTTCAAACTAACTAGAAGCCTAATGTGCATCTTTTTAAAACGATGAAAATGTCATAATCAGAGGAAGCTAGATAGTAAAAACAACAGACTGAAGAACTCTGGCTCTAGCATGGGCATGACTTGACATTCCTTTACGTCAGTAGTTTGAAAAGTGTCTGGAATTTGTGTTCAAAGAAGATGGGATTCTCAGTAGCCCTTGTGCTGAGCTCTACGGTCTCCTAAGTCAATGTGGTATGGTGAAACGTCTGCTCTTTTCCCCTTCAGTTACTGAAGCATCTAACAATGTGCCTAGTCATACTATTATTTTTAAAAATAGAGAATGTAAGTTAGTCTTAAAAAAGATGACCGGAAGAGGTATGAACTGTGCTTTTATTTATTTATTTGTTCCTATGTAGTAGTTCAGTGTTCACTGGGCAAGTTTTGTGGCACTTGCCCAAGACTTAGCCTTTTCTCAACTGTTTGAGTCCCTAAGTACAGAGAAAGAATAAGCCAATACAGAAGAGAGACAGCTGGTGGTAAGTTTTGAAATATTTTAATTGAAAAGCATGTAATAATTTGACTGTCATCATAAGCCGCCATAAAGGAGGCAGGCAGCATCCTTTTGGAACTTCCCTTTGGAATGCCTCTGTTGTTACAATCTCCTTGCATACTATACCAGCATTTTATAATTAGAAATGAAATTTAAATAGCTCAGGGAAATGTTTATCTTTAACCTCTTTTGCTTCTCATTGACTCAGAACCTATTCTTAACTTGCAGTCATGTAACCTGGTCAAATGATAGATATAATTTGTAATTAATGTCTTGAGCAATTCCTGTAGGGGATGATGTTATACAAGAGATGAAAATAATTTAACATCTGTCTTATGGATGTCTTGGCATAACTGTGGTGATTTCAACCTGATCTGACTTGGGTTAATTCCAGTGTAGGTTCTGGAGTCCTAATTTCTTCTTGGCTTTTTTTTTTTTTTAAACTATTTTTTAAACAGGTTCATAGTGAGCCTATTATTTCAAAGAACTGTCAGTGATGATTCCAGGGTCTCTTTCCTGAAGTAGTAACTCCCAGCTCTTGAGCTCAAAATCATATAAGCATGATTTTAGATCACTTTTCCCTAGCATGTATTACCTTATACTTACCTACACTGTGGACAGTTAAAATCAAGATCTTGCAGTCTGCAGAAATTTGCATGTGAAAGCCTTGCATGTGAAATTCAGGCACCATCCATAATTCAGATTCATAGGAATGTGTGCGGTTCTGTGAATTGTTGCTTTTAAACAGGTATGTTTCATTGTTGAAATCACAAAATAGTTGGGGTTGGAAGGGACCCCTAGAGATCATCAGGTCCAACCTCCCTTCTCAAGCAGAGTCACCTAGAGCAGCTTGCTCAGGGCCATGTCCAGTTGGGTTTGGAGCATCACCAAGAGTGGAGACTCCACAACCTCTCTGGTCAGTCTGTGCCAGTGTTTGACCACCCTCAGGGTTTTCTTCTGTTCAGACAGTTTCCTGTGTTTCAATTTGTACCCATTGCTTCTTGTCCTGTCACTAGGCACCACTGAGAATAATTTGACCCCGTTGTCTTTACACCTTCCCATCAGATTTTTTTTTTTTATAAACGTTGATGAGATCCCCCTGAGCTTGCTCTTCTCCAGACTGAACAGTCCCAGCGCTCTCAGCCTCTCCTTGTGTGGGAGATGCTCCAGCCTCCTGACCAGCTTGGTGGCCCTTCCTTGGACTTTCTCTAGTCAGTCCATGTCTGTCTTGTACTGGGGAGCCCAGAATTGGACACGCAGTACTCCAGGTGTGGCCTTAACCAGGGCTGAGTAGAGGGGAAGGATGACCTCCCTTGACCTGCTATGAACACTGCTCCTAATGCACCCTAGGATATAGGTGACCGACCTTCTGTGCCATGAGGGCACATTGCTGGCCCATGTTCAGCTTGCCCATCAGGACCCCCAGGTCCTTCTCTGCAAAACTGCTCTTCAGCTGGTCAGCCCCCAGCCTGTACTGGTGTGTGACATATTTGTTCCCAGGTGCAGAATTTTGCTGAACTTTGAGGTTTCTCCCTGCCCATTTCTCCAGCATTTTGAGGTCCCTCTGAAGAACAGCACAACCATCTGGTGTATCAGATGTTCCTCCCAGTTTATATCACTTGCAGACTTAGTGCGAGTGCGTTCGATCCAATCATCCACATCGTTAATGAAGATGTCAAACAGCGTTGGCCCCAGTATCAACCCCTGAGGGACCCCACTAGTGACTCAAGCTGGATGTTGTGCTGCTGATCACAACCCTCTGAGCCTGACACTTCAGCCAGTTTTCAGTCTACCTCACTGATGGCTTATCTAGCCTGTAGAGTTCAGCTCGTCTCTGAGGATGTTACGGGAGACAGTGTCAAAAGCCTTACTGAAGTCAAGGTAACGAAACATCGACTGTTCTCCCCTCAGCCACCAAGCCAGTCTTCTCACTGTAGAAGGCTATCAGGTTGATAAAGCAAGATTTCACTTTGTAAATTCATGCTGACTACTCCCAACCACCTTCCTGTCCTTCACGTGTCTGGAAATAGTATGCAGGATTAGCTGTTCTATCACCTTTCTAGGGATTGAGGTGACTGAGCTGATAGTTCCCCAGATCTTTCTTTTTACCCTCCTTAAAGATAGGGATGACCTTTTTTCTTTTTTCTTTTCTTTTTTTTTTTTTTCTTCCAGTCCTCAGGCACCTCTCTGATTATCATGACCTTTCAAAGATAATGCCTTGCAGTGACATCAGGTAGCTCCCTTGGCACTCATGGGTTTATCTCATCAGGGCCCATGGACT